TTTTTTCAACGAATACACTTGGACGAATGGGCAACATTTTGGTGAAAACCGCTTGCTGAAAGACCACTCCTCTGCTGAGTTATGGTTAAAATAAAAAAAAGTTTGGATCGTAGGGAAAATTTTTGCAGCAGTAGTATAAACGAAAAAGAAGCTAGAAAAAAATTAATCGATGAAAAATGAAAAATTTCATTCTAGAACGACATTTATTCTAAAAGAAACAAATGAAGTTGTTACAAATCCAATTTTGATAGCAAAACATTATGTGGTAGATTCATGGAGACGATTTGTAGCAGATGTTCTCGGCGCAATGCCTTGGGATATCTTATTTTTTGGTTCAGGAGGTCATACAGTAGGTTTATTCTAATCCAATAAAATAGAAATTTTTTAATAATTTATAGATTATTTATTTAGAGTATGCGTGTGGCAAATTGTTTTAAATTAGCTCGTCTATTACGTTTATGGACATTTGTGAGAAATTTTCAAAAAACAGAATATCGCAGTGCCGTGTTATTTCTATTAATGTTATTATTTGGAATAGCAGCTCATTGGTGAGAGTTTTTTATTTACTCTTTTTCTTCGGAAAAATATCATATTCGTTTCAATTGCAAATTGTAGTAAACAGGTATTTTTCGTATGTTTAGGTTAGCTTGTATATTTCATTTTATTGCTATCTTTGAACGGCCAAATTTACTAAAAAAATACAGTTGGCTAGATCATTTAGCTGAAAAATATAAAATGCCATTTTGTAAGTATAGGGAAGGATTTGGATTTTGTGCTTAACAAAAATGTTTATTTCAATTTTCAGATGCAAATGATACATTAAGTGGTCCTGACTCTGCATCGAAATATGTCACTGCTTTATTTTTCACAATGACGTCGTTAACGAGTGTCGGATTCGGAAATGTTGCACCAGTAAATGATGAAATTTCTTATAGTTATTCGAAAAAAATAACCGATATATCTGTGGTTTCTAGAACACAAATGGTGAAAAAGTATTTTCGATTTTGGCTATGTTAGCAGGGTGTATGTATTTTTGTTTCAGTAGCAAAAACCCTCGAAATAAATATATAGTTTGATTGAATATTTTTATGAACTTTTGTTTCGTATTTTATTTTTTGATTAACACTAGCCATTTTTATTTACCTATGTTTTATGCTTATTAGATTGAAGGTGTGCTATGCTCAAATTGGATAAATTTATAGCGAAAATTTTTAAAATTTATTTTACTACTAATCAGAATATATTATCATATTGAAACGTCTAGTGTTTAATTAAATACGAATATACGAAATAAAAGTTCATAAAATTCGATCAAACTTCAATATTTCGTACACAAAACAATATTCAATGATGAATATATTGTAATTATTTTAGCTTTTCTAAGTGCTGCCATAATGGGCAATGTCACCACCATTATTATCAAATTATATCAGGGTGCTGAAGAACTGAAAGAAATGAAACAGAGTATCAATGATTTTATAAAACATCACAGAATTCCGAGACCTTTGGCCAGATGTATGCAAGAGTCATTCGATCATGAATGGAAAAATACAAAAGGCATAGATATGAATACAGTAAGGATATTTTGATCGATTGTTCTTCGTTAAATGCAAGCGTTACCTTCTCCACAGGTATGCACCGGTATCGGTATTTATACCGAAATACCGAACTTCGGTATATACCGATACCGAAAATACCGACTTTTTTCACTTAGAATTTTTTGGATTTTTTCATTTGAAATGAGATGTTTTATCGTCCTGGACACCCAGAATGAATCAGGGACGGAAAACAAGAGCTTTGTTTGCTTTCTAAAGCCAAAGTTTTTCTTTTCTTTCTATCTGAACATGCTCAA